GTGTTTGTACGGCTGTCTATATATGTATCTTTATTATGTAATTCTATTCATGTATATATTTCTGTGTATGTGGTATATGAAGCGCCACGTCAGCATGCACGTGGTTAGTGTGTATAGGCATGTGTAAATGTAGAGACGAACCTCTTTCGTCAAACGCAGATAAACATACTTCTAATGGTACGTTACTTCACATTCGACACCTAAAATCTTCATTTCATTTTGTGCTAACGGACTGTCTTGCAGTAAAGAGCAGACACACCTTTACGGCCACGTCTCGGATGTGTACAGCGCCGATCAGTACAACGAGCTTACTCCGGCAAGCTTAGAACTTTCGTATCTCCGACAGGTAGGTATAAATATCCAACCCTTCCGATATATTTGTCTAAAGTTTCGATATAGTCTAATAGAGGTGTGGGCGACCAGGCCATATCTAAGCCACATACCTTGTCAGCAGTATTGAATAGATAGTATTGCCCACTTATAATGTGTGTATGTAACTGAACACTGACATATATATATATATATATATGTATTAATATATATATTGGGTATACTTTCTTCATTCTCTACAAACCTTAAACCACTTTATTATCCAAGTCCTCTGGTCTATGTCCAGGTGCAGGCTACCTCTGCACTGTGGTTATAGCTACAAATGCCTCTTTCATCACTGCCGAATACCCTACATGTGTATTCAAGAATGGCCTTTCCGCTATGTTCATTATTGTCCATGACCACCATTCCTGTGAATATATTCACACTTGCTTTCCTGATTCCTACTATATGATCGTGACATTATATATGTACACATACATGCTTTCTCGCATTTGATCACACTTGCGTTCCTGTTTTATATTATATGATCGTGCCATTGTATATGTACTCATGCATGCTTTCTCGTATTTAATCACACTTGCGTTCTTGTTTCCGCCTCTTTGCATCTATGCACAACCTTGCTACAATCCCATCTCTACCATGAGCCCAATTCAATCTTCTTGCCGACGCTTACAGTCCAACCCCAGGCCATTCTCATTACCATATGTTCATATGCACGCTTGTCCCTCATAGCCACGTTTAGCGTTTTCCTAAGTCTTAAACACACACCGTATCTGTGATTCTCCTTCATACGGCGGGAGCTAGTCCCATCACAACCACGTTCAATGTGTTCAAAAGATCCATACACACGTTGTATGTGCTTCCCCTTCACATAGAGCTAGTCCCCTCACAACCACGTTCAACGTGTTCATAAGCTTTATAACCGACTCGTTTGTGCTTGATCATTTTCATAAGTTTTATAAACGTCTTGTTTGTGCTTCCCCTTCATATAGGGCTAGTCCCCTCACAACGACGTTCAACGTGTTCATAAGTCTTATAACCGTCTTGTTTGTGCTTCCTCTTCATACAGGCGGGGGAGGCGCAAATGGCAAGTCTCAAGGCTGGGAATCCGCATGCACACTGGATCATGCAGGTAGGTAGACTAGTTCATACAGGTAGGTAGACTGGCTCATGCAGGTAGGTAGACTGGCTCATGCAGGTAGGTAGACTAGCTCATGTAGGTAGCTAGACTGGCTCATGCAGGTAGGTAGACTGGCTCATGCAGATAGGTAGACTAGCTCATGTAGGTAGGTAGACTGGCTCATACATGTAGGTAGACTAGCTCAGGCAGGTAGGTAGCCTAGCCCATGCAGGTAGGTAGACTGGCTCATGCAGGTAG